AAAGAGAGAGAGAAAGAGAGAGAAAGAGAGAGAGAGGGAGAGAGAATGAATCTTGTTTTTCTTATTTTTAAAAATTGCAAGTATTGCCCAGAAACTACTAAAATTTTCACAAAAATGTACATGACCTTAATAAAGGAAATAATTATGGGCAACAAATTTTATTTGAAGGAAAAATCTCTATCTTTAATTTTGTAGTTGTAGGAAAGCACTGATACCACCTTTATATGTCAATTTTACTCTATTCTTTCAATAGATTTAAAGATAAAAATTGGAATTTTTTTGGAGAAAATTTCGAAAATGTTCAGAGGGGCTTCTTGTAAAGTACCCCCAAATTTAAAAGAATGTTTTTCAAAATCTCCCAGAGCTTTGACTCGAGCCAGATGTACAGCGGTTCCTTCAATTTGGAAAATATCCTACGCATGATTTAGATGCTAGTAGTTTTCACAGCCAGGCATTCAGATAGATGGATGTTTTGAAAAGAACTGCTTTTTCAGTATCAGGGGTCCCCAAAACGTGTATTTCCGTTGAAATCTCAAAATCGATTTTCCGCAGCATTACATAAATTTTCCTAGCTAGTTTTCATAGAAACGGTGGAGAAGGAAAAATAAAAAATTGAACAATGTGGCTTTAATGCCATCTTATAGAGTAGATGTAGCACTATCCCTGCCAAAAGTTTCGAGAAAAAAGTTGGGGCCTCTTTGAGAAAATTTTGAAAATGTCCGGAGGGGCTTCATGTAAAGTACCCTCAAATTTTAAAGAATGTTTCTCAAAATCTCAAAGCTTTGACTCGCACAAGATGGGCAGGGGTTTCTTCAATCTGGAAACACATTATTTAGGCGCCAGTAGTGTTCACAGACAGTCAAAAGAAACGGATAGACGGACATTATTTTGCAAAGAACCACTTTTTCAGTAACAGGGAACCTCAAAACATGCATTTCCGTTGAAATCTTGAAACCGATTTTTCGCTACATTACATAATATACAACGTATATTACTGTGTATACGGGAGTGTAAAAATAAAACCAGTAGTGCTACACAGCTGATGGCACAGACTTTCCCGTATTAGTTTTCTATTTCATTTGGTCTTGGCCAGCTACCATCTATGCCGCCCAGTGTAATTTTTTTCGATTTTTTATTTTTTTTATTTTTCCTTTTCCTAATACCAGAACAGAAGTATTACTTTACGAATATTAAAGAACAGTAAACCTTCGTCCTAAATGGCAATTTTATTTAAAATTTGACAATTTTTTAAAAAAACTTGCATGTAAGTGCTACAGCAAATTCGAAATTTGAAGCTCTTTTTCACAGAAAGTTTATGCGTTTTCGAAAAACTTCATCATCAAGTCATTTGAAGCAAATTAACTCACAAATACAATAGAGTTTACAAATTGATGGAAAAGTGCATAAATGGCGTGAGAGATCTTGCAGAGAAATTACCTACATTTGTTTAACTAACTGAAAAAGCAAAAAAATACCGCGAAGTCATATTAAAGAGTGAAATTAGCACTATCCATTCAAAAAGTTTAAAGGAAAAATTCGGAGCCTTTTTTAGAAAAAGTTTTTTTTTTTGTAATTATTAAAATTGCACATATTGCTCGTAATATTGCACGAAAATTACTAAAATTTTCAATCAAATTAAAAGAAAAAAATTTAGAGCAGTTTCCGGGAAAATTTTGAAAATGGCCGAGGGATTTTATGATAAGTACTCCCAAATTTTGAAGATTTTTTTCCCAAAATATCAAAGACTCGACTCAAGCCTGATTGACATGGGTTTCTTCAACTTGAAAAAATCCCATGTACTGTTTAGCCGCTAGTAGTGTTTACAGACAGACAGACAGACCTACAGATGGACAGGTGGACGTTTTCAAAAAAAAAAACTACTTGTTTGGTATCAGCAGAACCTAAAACGTGTATTTCCATTGAAATCTCAAAATCGATTTTTCAAAATCTGCAGCATTACATAACTTTCACTATATATACATTACTCTCTGTATATACATGTGTGTACAGGAAAGTAAAAATTGTTTCAGTGTCTTCCGACAATACTGAAGATAAAGATTTTTCTTCTGAATGACATCTGACCTTCAAAAGCATATCTCTAAATATGGTCATGTTCAATTCTTGCAGAGGGAGCAGTTTTAGTGTAATTTTGCGTGAAAGAAACACAATTTAAAAACAAGATTTTCTCCAATACTATTCCAAATTTTGTCTTTCACATTTTGGTACAATTTGAGGTAAATGCACTGAATACCACAACATAAATTCCATTTTGATTTATTATTTTGATTTTTCAAAATTTACAAAATAATGTAATTTTTTCTCCACTCTGTTATTTATATTTACATTATAAGCGTTGAGTACACATGCTTCAAATTATTGCATATGATATCTCTCAAAAACTCAAAAAGATTTCTATGAAAATTAGTTCAAAATTGCACACTTTGGCAAAAGCGTTAAATCTACTTTTTTTGAGAACTGCTAGAAAATTTTCACGTACATTTTCCACAAAGTGTCATGTGTTACTCTATAATATTCTTTATCAGTTTTCAATTCCACTATTGGAAAATCGATAAATTGTGAAACTATGAAAATATGACTGGTGTCAATAGGTAGCAGCTCACAAGAAGGAAAAATTAGCCTTTTGATTCTTTGTCAGAGCTGCAGTAGTAAACACTTGAGTCAGTATACACTAGAACAATACATAGTACTGTGCTTAAAATCACTTTCTGAGTAATATTCCACAATTGAATTAGTTTTCAAATGGGGATTGTTATTCCTGAGGAAGAAGAGGGGAGACGACAGAGGCAGACATAAGGCAGGTAGTGAACGGGGGGGAGGGGGACGCAGAGATAAAATCATTTGCTTAACCCTATACTGTGTTCTGTGATTCACTTAAAGAATTATCTTTTTCTGCAAATTCTTGTTTCTCTTATGAAGCTCCTCAACAGTGAGGTCCCTATAGCTGGTACAAAATACAACCAGCAGCTGAATACATAAGTAGAGTGGGTGAATTTGCAATTTGGACAAGTTCAGGACATTCAAAATGCCAAGAGAGCACGAATTGGATAATGAATGCAGGCTATTTTTGATTACATAACACAGCTTGAATTTATCATATCAAGAACATTTTCATATCTAATTTCCTTGATTTCAACATTTAAAATTATGGAAATTGTAAATTAGACACACACTGAGGATTACTTGAATTTCTAACAAGAAAAAATTAATATTTTTTTAGTAACGGACAAACTCTCTAGGAGACTATAATAAACTCTCTTCAAGATTCAATTTGCACTCAGTGCAAGAATTTTAATCATCTCATTTTTTCTGATATGAAATAGTGGTAAGAAATACTGCAAGCAGCACATGCTGACAAATATCTATTAAATTCATACAAACAACACAATTCATAGCCATATTGTGTACACTTAGCCTTATTATTTCATTAATACAAGTGTGATAATTGATTCTATTTCTCTTTTCATTTCACACACCTGCAGATGCTGTACCAATAAGAGGTTGTCCTGGGCGAGCCACAGCAACTTCCCATATACCATCCTTGTGTCCAGAATATTCTCTAATTAGAGAACAACTCACATTTGGACCTTTAAAACTTGAAACTATTTTACTAGTCTGTGCTTTTAGTTTATGAGCTGTTTTGACTTTTTGTGATGAGCCACTAATGGCTGTAAATGAAAGGAAATTTAGATGTGTTTTAAGTCCATTTGTAAGTTATTTTCAAAAATGTATAAAGGTAGGAAAACATGCATACAACTTACACTTCTGTTTTGAGAAACTTTTTGATGATGTATTGTCAAACTCAGGAAAATCATAACTTTGTTTATCGCCAACAAATGATTCTCTCTCCAAACGCTCATTTAAGCTTTCAATTTTTTCATTCACTATACCAACAAAAAAAACGAAGATAAATCACATTCCACATAAAAAGTTAAATTAGTGACATAACATAAGAAAAATATACATTTTCATTTATTAACCAGCAGTAAATACTTGAAATGATCAGATTTGACTTAACTTATGCTTTATCACTTACAGTTTAAATTTTCTGCATACAATGTTTCAAATTCTTTTTCAATTTGAATAAAAAGTTCATGAAGTCGAGACCTTAAAATAAAGAACAAAAATGTAATAAGGTTTCACTAGTTTATTTGCAATCGAGCAATTATTAATACCTGAAAACTGGTGGTATAACGCTCTCTCCATCCATATCAGAACGAAAATTTGTCAAAAATGGCTGGATTTCACTCTCAGCATTACTTTGGACACGAGGTATATTAATACGTTTACTTTTTGGGGGCTTTGCAGAGAGATTCTGAACCACATCCTGTGGCATGTTTGCATCCCCAGTACATAACATGACAGAATTAAAATACTTTGTTTTCTTTGCACATCCAATGCTTTATAATGATAGAACCTGCAAACAATTTTAAAACCATGAATATCTACGAATTTCTTTTCTGTTTCGAACTATTCTACCATTCTAGATGCGGCATTTGGATAGACCTTTAAGTGAATAATCTACGCAAGTTTACTGGTTAAAACATCTACTAATTCGTTAGCAGAAACTTCACCTGTATATGGGTAGAGAATCGCAATTCTATACATGTTTTTAACAATATCCACAGTAAATACCGATAATTACTGTGATTTACAGTAGTGGAGTTATCATTACATCTTTCTAACTTTCTTAACAGAATCACAAGAACATTTTTTTTCTGTTTTACAATTAATAATTGAAGATACTGAATGCTGGTAAGACACGTTTCGAGAAATACATCTACAACACATGAATAGATCTATGACACATGAATTATCAAACACTTGATCGCACTCATTCGCCTTTGCTGTTTGTATTACCATCTTACTAACACTAAATGTCACATTAGAGAAAGTCCCGATCATCCCTCTCTAGTTCCAACACTCCGATTGAAAAAAACAGTGACTTCTGAAGTTAGATATAGTGGACACGCGGTTATCCAATTGGGAGCTTCGTTATGATTTAATTTTTAATTTTGAAGCTCCCCGTTGCATAACACCAAGCCGGTTCACTCAATGTTAAAAGGCGGGGGCCTAAGTTTGTTTCCTCAGTCACGGACCTGGTGCAGATAGCGCAGCTGTTGCGTTTTGGCGCGCATTTGCAAAGTAAAGTTGGGCGTAAAATGTAACCTACGGGGCCTTGGGCGTAAGTCATCAGCTGCCGGAGGAGATCCGCCGGAGGGTACACACGGCGCTGGGCCGGAAAGCTCCGCGGCTCTTGCGCGAAACCGGTCGGGCGGAGAACTGTGAGGTCTACCGGACGTATTTTGTTCCAAGAGGGCCCAAACAAGTGGCCTCCCCCTCCACATTCCGGGCGCTACCGCCGCAGCTTCTCGCAGAGCTCTGCGAGCAACGGCGTGAGGCTCCACCCGTTAAGCCTGTTTTACACGATCATTTTTTCATCATTTTCCGCCGGTACAGAAAAGATACAGGGCAGACTGGATGTAATTTGTACGAAAAAATGACGCATGCTTAATTTTTCGGTACAGATTTCATCCAATTTGACTACCGCGCTCCTGGCGGCACTTTCTCTAGTTTGTAATGCGTGTAGAGCGATATGATCATTTTGTAGTTGCCTGAGAGCGTTCTGATGTGTTGAATTGTAATGTGAAGTGGTTATGTAAAGAGAAATAAATTATGCACTGTGGCATCCGAGCTCAGTCCTAACCTAACTTCATTTGTTACCACAGATGCGATGTTCAAATGTTTGAACGTCAGCGCTACTTGCGGCGTCCGGAGGAAGTATTTTCTTCATGATTACGTACAAGGGCAGAAATGACTGTGTATTACACAGTGTGTAAAACACTCTTGGCACTCATCCAGTTTCGGCATTGAAACATACTGCGTAGAAATGTCCTTTTTCCATCCATTTACTGGACAGAAAAATGATGAAAAAGGGATGCAAAAATGACCGTGTAAAACAGGCAATTGCCAGGGCACATTGTGCCTAGCCGCCACGGACGATTGGAGTAAAGCCGGCGCCGTGGCGCACAGTGCAGGGTAAATAGTGTTTTTAGGGTGTATACAGTTTCGTATGTGAAAGTGCGTGCGTCAAGTGAAAATAGAACCCAGTGTGAATGAGCGAGTGAATGAAAAAAATCCAAGAAAACTAAATGAAATAAAATACTAATACGGTTTAGTGCAAATTTAAGGTTGTCGGCCAAAGTGTCGGCTTCATCCATTAATTAAGTTGCAAATAAGTTAGTAAGTAAGCACTGCCCCCTTCTTTGCCGCATAAGCCAAAGAGCTGCGGCGCATATACCATAACATGACAATAAACTCCCGCCTCGCCAGGGCTACTGAAAGATGAAAACAACGTTGGGCGAAAGTGTACTGGTTGTTGTGCATGTAGAGAATATCCACGAGTATTATCTGCTTTTCTTATGATTTACTACGAAGAATTAATTGTATTTGCAGAAGATCGGTAAATGTTCCATATGAGGGTACTTCTCTAGGAGTATGCCCTTTCATAAGGTCCCCAAAAATCAACAATGCGTGAACGATGGTTGAAAAACAAATCACAAAGATTTAATGGATACATTATTTATAAAATATTATAAAAGTATATGTACTAAAAAAATTAATCAAATATGTTCACTTGGATACAATCTGTGAGAAAGAACCATACTTTTATTGAAGAGATATTTTTTATAGTACAAAATTTACAATATGCCTAATAAATGGGGATCTGTAGACCATTAAATAATTTCTTGGGTACATATAACAATTTTTAATGAATATTTAACGTGAATACATATAAAAAAGGGTATAAATGTCTCATTATTTCGTAAATTCATATTCGTAATAGGAAACAAAATGAAAAATTGGTTTAGTTTTCTGTTGGAATGTTGATACCTGTTCAATTATTTGATGTCAATTTGTTTAAATTAAAATCTTAGATCCTGACGTTGGAACACCATCATATTGGATTTCCTCATGAATTGTATCCAGAGAGAAAATGACAAAAAAACAACAAAGAAAGTTAAATAGACTAGAAAAGGCTGGAATTTATTAAGAGACAAGGAAGATTCCCTGATGCAAAATAAGGTACACTACAATCCAGTGTAGTAATTGCAAGATATACACTTCTGTAGAGCTTTGGAGGAAAAATGTTATTCTTGTAACCAGTAACTGATAGTTGATTGGAATTATTATTTTATGTTTAGATTGAGGAACCCATTATATGTTTTTGGTAAGGCTGAGAAAACTGATTTTTTTTTTATTTTAAAAATCCAATGTTTTAAAATATAAATTGCATTGACTTGATTTAAATAATATTTTTAAATATTGTATTAGATGTGTTTACTTAAAACCAACATTGTAGAGTGATTTATTTATCCTTAATTATTACTCGCGTAACTTTTCTTGAACGATGACCTTGCTTCTCCCTCTCTGAAACAATAAACAGTTGAAGTCAAACGTTCGCAACACGCACATAGGACATTCCAAACATCTTCATTGGGGCGAAATAGAAACAATATTCTGTTGAAGATGAGAGCTTCTGACCGTTATTTTCTCCAAAAAATCTAAACTGAAGCAGATAAATATCTATTACAGGAGATACCTAGAATTCCTGAGAAAGTTAGAACGCAAATTATTGAGAACGTTGTGAAGTTATGACTGTTTCTTCAGAGATACGCATTGCTTCATAAAATTTAGTGGCCGATTTCCTAATTAATACCCCCACACTACCCGCATTTCTTCAATCCATCGTTCAAGAAAAGTTGTACGAGTAACACTGTGAAAGAAGAAATAAGTTTATAAAAACATGAATGTTTTAAATTTATCATTACATTAATGTTTACATGTTTTAGATGTTTTTTTAAATAGATACTATAGATTTGAGGGGTCCGGTGCAATACCGCCCTAACCCACAAAATCTTTAAATTTGAGTACTTATAGTTTCATGATCTTTTTCTAGTTAGTTTAACAATTCAAACTAGTTTTAACAATATTAATTTCATTCTTTATGCGAGTATCAATAAAATTCCATTTTTATTAATGCTCATCGTCTTTAAGATGTACTTTATGTAGCATTAGCAAACATTTTACACCAAATCTAGAATTTGTTTAGGCTGCTATACAAGATTTTTCATAGCTATCTGATTGGTTACTGCACATCATGACTATATTTCCACAAAGTTCACAGACAAACTATCCTCATTGAAACTTACAAATGGGCAGAACAATACTGAATTGTTTTGGATGACAGAATTTTGACAGTATATGCAGTATAAGTGGATTGGAATTTTTTTGTAACTATAAATAATACTATTACAGGATTTATTGTTAAGATGATTCAATATCCAATTCAAATTTGGCTACATTTAATTAAAAATCATCTAAAACATATTGCCTTTTTGTAGCACTAAATTATGTGAAATATCCAAAAAAGTATTTTAACTAATTCGGGCAGTGTCCTTAATATTTTAAAAATTTTCAAAATGAACTTTAGATATTCCAAGTACATTATTTATTACACACAGTTTTTTTTTGTTTTTTTTTACACATTCCAAAACAGAGGGTTTTTTAATTGTTCACAAATTTGGAATTGATTGAGTATTTATTAATAGATTTCCAGTGCTTGTTAGGTACGTTTTTCTAATCAAGGCAATTATTATTTGATATATACGTTGCTAATAATATATATTTTTCTACAATATCATCTAGACTAGCAGCACTTGCAGCTTCAAGGGCAAAAAAATTTCACTGCCACACTTTGTAATACAATTTTCTAGGAATGTTATTTGAGAAGATAAGAGGGCTATGCTTGATAAATGGAAACGCAACACTTACACCTAGGGAAATTAAATTAATTACATTTCATCATACATTAATGAGAGTATCTATTCTAGAAATGCAAATAATGAATTATGTATATTTGACAATGAGACATTTTAAATACATGGGCATTGCAAACAATGGATATATTACAAAACTTGTCCAATAACATACTTAAGTATAATTATACTCTCAACAAGATAATCTTACTGACGGCAGTATATAAACTGATAACAAAACCAAGTTACATATATCGTGTATTATCAATTACAGAACAGATTCCTCTGAAAGGACTAAAACCCAGCAAACATACTCATGTTTTCTGTGGTTATATTTCTTTGAAATTTTGACCTTGTTGTTATTGGCTGTTGATGTCGATGTAGAGTTCCTTTGAGTTGATTTTTGAAGCTTCAAGGGTTATTGCTTTAGTCACAATATCTTCAAAAATTTTCGTTTCCGATTGTAACAATTGTTCCCTGGTGGAGTTGTCCTTTATTCTTTGAATAAACTGTGCTCGAAGAAAAATGTCTGCAACAGAAGTTTTGCATGGACATTCTGAAATATAATGACAATCTTAGATGTCCGCTCTCAAATTTGTGACAAATTCTGCAATAGATTGATATTTTGAGAAAAATTGATGCTGAGCCACAAGGAAGTTCTTTTCCGGTGCCAAATGTTTTTCTAAAAGTTTGATTAACTCATTGTACGTTTTTCTTCTGGCATTTTTGGTGCTGTTCATGTTGAAATATTTTGCACAGAAAGAATTTAAAAGTAACTTTACACAGTAATCTTTGTTGTTTATTACATTCATTTCTAAATAATTTTCGAAAAGATTTTCTTGTGGGTCGAAATATTCAAAATTTCGCAAGAGAGAAGTATTTACCGATATTTCTTGATTGGTTCTCACTGGTTGATCAGTGTTTATTTCTAATTTTTTCTCGAGCATTTGCTGTTGAAATGTCATCAATTTAGAATATTGTGTCGCATCCATTGTGCTGTCAGTTGTTGAATTAAGTTGATTTAATTTTCTCAAGCAGTGATGCGAGCTACTCGATCCACCCACGATCACAATGTAACATATACTTCATCTATTAAAAATTGCTCGAAATAAAAATAAAAAAAAATATTGAAATTTGTCAGCTCTCGAAATATTGTATGTGATTGTTACCTTGTGATCCTGTGCACGCTTATGGACTTGAGGTTAAGTTCTTGTCGCCGTTTTTAGGGTAGATATTTTCTTCGATTATCCTG